TTTAAGTGCAGAATAATTATATTAATTATACGCCCGTAACAAAAATGCAGACCAAGCTGTTTTTTATAAAGCCGTTTTTTGGGCTTGAAAAGTGATGGCGAGTATTTTTTGGGATAGTCATGGACTTGTTTTAATCAATGATTTTCAAAAAGGTAAAGCCATTACAGTAGCATACTACGCATTATTACTTGCGGAAAAATTAGCGATATTTCAAAAAAAAGAAAATCTTGTTTCAAATATATATAAATATATATATATATATATATATATATATATATATATATATATATATATATATATATATATATATATATATATATTAAAGTTAAGAATACCTTTAATATTTTCATGACATAATAATCAGGGAAAATATTATAACTTTTATGTTAGTTTAAAAATTGCTGCTAAAGGCTCTTATTATAGCGGGACGGCTGAATAAGCGCGAATTTCCTAAGCGCAAACTAGCACAAGTATGAATGGCGTAAGTGCGAATTGACATAAGTGCGAACTGGTATAAGTGTGACACGTTGCAAAAACTGGCATAAGTACAAATTGACATAAATGCGAACTGGTAAAAGTGCGCCGAATAAATTTGCATAAGTGCAAATCGGCATAAGTGCGAAAAACCAGTTTGGGCTTATGGCAATATTTGCAATTTTACCGGCACACTTATGCTATTTGCACTTATGCCAGTTCACACCTATACACTTATACTAGTTTGTACTTATGTCAATTCGCGCTTATTCAGCCTACCGATTATAGCGTATATATGCTATAATGGAAGCTACAGCTGCAATTTTTTTCCATTCAAGTAAGCATAATGATTTCAAAAACAACATCAGGATTGTTCTTGTATAGCTTAATCATGGTAAAAATTTAAAAACAAAAAAATTACTAGTAAAACCTTAAATATAATGTCAGTATTGAAAAACCAGTTTATCATAATGTAACCGTAATGTCAATTTTGAAAGCAATACTTTAAAAATGTTTGGAGCCAAACACCCGCTCTACTTTTATTAACTGCAATTGTAGTGCTATTAACAAATGGTGTTAAACTTGGTGTTTCAATGTTTAAATTTTTATATAGTTTTGATAATGACCATCTTATTTTCTGTCTACAGCTTTTCCAACAACCAGTTTGAGTTGTTCCTTCTAGACTTTGTCTAGCAACAATTAAAGCTCTTAAGCAAAATATAGGCAATTTTTTATGCCAGGCAGATGTCCTCCAGCAACAGGCTGTTTAACTGGGTATCTTTGGTTATCTGGTTAACCTAACTCATGCCTTATGCTTGGAAAATGCAATTGTCCATCATGGTACGATACAATAGCAAAAAGTGAAAATATGCATAAAATTATTATCCATATTTACCCAATTATATTAACACAATTTGAATGAATAAAACACGTTTTACCCATTTAAAGTACAGCTTTCGAAAAGAAAACGACATTTTTGCATAAAAAAGCTATTTAGTTGATTTACATTAAAATTAAAAGTTACCTTCAGGCGGTATTTAAATCAGCTTGTACCGAGATTTAGGTGATCAGTAAGACTAAAACTGTTCTTATTTCAAAAATGAAATTGCCTCAATATAAAAGTTAGTTTTGGAGGATTTTGCTCAATCCTAGCGCTCAGTGGTGTGTGTTAAAAAAAAAATTAATATCTAATACCACACGCTTCAGCATTTAATATTGCTGAATCCTAATGCAATAAAATAAATTTTTCATTATTAAAAAAACGAATTTAAAGCTTTAAAAGGTAAATCATTAGTTACTTATTCCCACTGTTGCAAAATACTGTTCCGGTTTCACTTTTTTTTGTTATAAAGTGAGTTGTTTCGTCAACATTTGAGAGGCTGTTACTGAAATATTTACTTGGGATCGCTCTAAAATATCCTAAGTCTAGAATATTCATATCTGGACTGTTTAGTGAATGACAAATTAGACGAATGTCAAACTCATCCTAAAAAACGTTGACCATAAGTTCTGGATTGTTAATGGCTGTATGCGATTTCGCATTGTCCTGTTGTATAAAAATTATTTGAGTCTTTTCAATACGATTTCCAGGCCATTTTGAAAGTATGGCTCGTAAAACCATGTTTAAAAGTATGTTATGATATTCAAATTTATCTACAACATTTGGAGTTGTTAGTAGTGTTCCCTTACTTCGATTCTTACTGTTTCTAATTGTAGACTCATGTTTTACATTAGTGAAACACGAGTCTTCAAAGAGAAACAGTAAGAATCGAAGTACATCAATACAGCCATTGACAATCCAGAACTTATGGTCAATAGATTCAGACTAAATGAAAATTTTTCTATTATACCATTCATTAAAATCTTCATCAAAATCATGATCTTGCCAGAACCATAACTTTAGTAATGAATCTCATTGATTTCACCTCTCGATGGGTTCCAGGTTCTTTTACCGTTCTGATTCTTTTGCGAAATATAATCATTTTTTGTCAACATGAGCCGTGTTGAACATATTTACAAACTGATTTGTACCGTTTTTAAAAAGTTGTAACTGAGAAAGAATGAATTGGATGCACTGCTTTTTATTTTTATCTGTTAGAAAAGGCTTTACAGCTAATGTGCCCATTCTCAAATCACCATTCTTAAGTTGAGGGGTTGTTGTTGGAATATTTAAAGATCCTGCAAATGCTCAAATGATTTTCCTTTTGTTTAAAGAGATTTCAGAGATTCTTTCTTGTAGTTGTTTTTTTTTTCCTCCAGCTTTTCCCTTTTTTTGGAGCACACGTTTGATGGCAAATTTTCTTTTCCTTAACGTCAAAGATTACTGATTGTTTTAGTGCAAACGATAAATTTTTCAGTAGTTTTTTTAACTAAACCTTTTTTCCATCAATGCTTTGGGATAATAAAAAATCCTAAATCATTTTATGTTGCTCGTTTGTAAGCTCATGTTTATCTCTTCTATTCGTTTTTGAAAAAACTTAGTTGAATATGTTTTTAACTGAAAAAATTGTGCTAGCTGTTTTTAAAAGCTAGGTATATTGTTATTACCGTAGAAAAATTGAAATAAAAACGTCAACAACAGAACACCTGATTTTTTATTGTTTTTGCTGTAGTAACATGCAATAAAAACGTCAACAACTGATTTTATAACACCTGATTTTATTTGTTATTAATCTCTATAAGTCATCTACTGAGCATGAAGTATTTGATTTTTTAATTGCTGTTACTATTTTACTATTTTTTTGCTAAAAACGAGAAAATTGTTTTAAATTTTCGAACTTTTAATTCATTTTTAGCAAATCACAACAATATTTTTGAGCAAAGTTTTTCATTAAAAAAAACAACTTTTATAAAAACTTTGCCAAGTAACTGTACATAACTAGAAACTTTAGTTATTGTAAAATCTTTCTTATTATCTTTGCGAAAATGAAAATTTTTAAAACCTACGATTAGGGTACGAGAGTTTCTCAGTTTTTGCGTTTCTTAACAATCTGTCTTTTTTCAATCTTTTTAATATACTATTACTTAACATTACTAAGTTATATAATATAATATAGTAATGTTAAGCTAAATGCGTTTTCCAATAGTTTGGGGAAAAATATTGTTTTTGAGGTTGGGCCGGGCGCATCTTTGTATCGGTCAACGCCACTCCATTAAAAGTGCAGTTTGGCCAAAACTCATTTTACAATGTATGAAGCTATAACATTGGTATGGTTATTAAGTTTTTTGCATATTTATTTTTTGTTTCAAACATTTACATTAAAAAAATTTTTTTAAGTCTATACTTATTTCAAATAAGAATGTTTTGTTGAAACTGCATTGATTGGAGCCTTGGATTTTATAAATAATTTTATAAATTATGCTTATTAACAAAATTATGGCACAAATATAAACGCTGTATATATTTAGCTGTTCAAGTTTTATATTTATGTATTTATTTAGAAGAGTTTAAAAATTAGAACTTAAAGGAAGTTATTTAAATTAAGTATCTAAAAAAGCCTAGATTCAGCCTTGAAATGCTGGTTTTGACCGACATTGGGCATATCTAATGGCAACCTAGTAAAACATGCGCTGTGCCAACGTTAACCAAATCAACACACGCTTATGTTCTAACGCTATCCAAATCATAATTTATGCGCTTGCGTTTCAGCTAACTAATTAATGCTGCTCGTGGCAGTATAGTTATACAAAAACTGACAAGATCCAAAAGAAGTGAAATTGTGAGTTTCAGAAGGCATTGCCCATAAGTGGATAACAAATTTTACTCGTATTGTTTTTATTGAGTTTATTTTTTTTGTTATTTTATTTTATTCAAGACAAATTTTAAGTTATTTTATTGTATACAATATAAACAACTATAGTTGTTTATTGTATTGGATATATTTTAATGAAATCTAATTTATTTATTGTTTTGCATTATTTTTTTAATATTTCTTTAATATGTATTATACATTTTGTCTCATTCTTTATTATTTTTATTTTATATTAAAATTTATTTACGTTTCTTGAAACAATACTCGCACACCTACAAATGATTTTATGGCTACATCTTTTTCTAGGGCACAAAAGGTTCCTAGGGCTAGAGGTTATTGCTTTGTAGAACAATAAGATTGCTTTTTAACTTTCAAGCGCTTGACTAACAGAGCATGACTAACAGTTTTGTTATTTAAAATCAATTTGTTTATGATTAGTTATTTAAGCATCCAGCGTTGTATTATGATATATAAAAGAAAAAAATACGCTTGTTTGTTTAAAGCTTTCATATTCATATATTTACATTACAAACTTGTCATATTTGACATTATGTACAATATAATAATGAAGAAAATATCTTCAATAGATGTCGTATTAAAATATATTTACAAAATAAATACTCAACCAAGCATATTTATAAAGGATATTTAAATGAAATATTTATATGATGTTTATGTATATGATACATTATAAGATATATAAGATATTTACATTTAATTATGAAGTATAATTAAAAAATATATGCATGCATGTAGAATAATTTTTTTAAGATATTTATATAAAGTTTTTGTTAATGTGGTATATTTAAATGTACAAATTTTTATTTACAGCTTATATTTACACATTTACAATTTTATATTGTTACAAATAAAAGTTATTTTGAAGAATCAAGAATTCAAGAATAGAAATCTTTAATTTCTTAAGGGGCATCCCAACTCTTGCACGGTTCTTGGTTACAAAACATAACATCGCATATGTTTTTCCATTGATGGGTGCCATATGGTCCATCGCACTTTTTATCTTTTTCGATCCATTCCCAGAAATATTTGTCTTTGAAAAAGTACACTTTCCCGTTGTAATACCAACGGAATGCAGTGTCAATTTTGTTTGGGATACCTGGAAAAACCTCGGAAGACTTTTTTGGCCAACCCGATTCAACAGCCCCTTTTGGATAACTATTTCTGCTTGAAGTTAATGCATTAGGATCCCATCTGTATACTAGGTCATTAATGAAAATATAAGCTTTTCCATCAGTATGTACAAATGCAGCGTCTATTGCCGTTCCAGGAAGACCAGGCCATCCAACTTGTCCAGTGTTTTTATCAGTTCCAATTGCAGATGAAGGTGATAATGTTCCGTACCATGAAAAATGATAACGGTCTTTCTGTATTTAAAAAATTGTATATATTTTTCATTATTTGTTAATAGTTATTCGCATAAATCTATTAAAAAAATAATTTTATTTTTTCATACCACAAAAAAGTATACTCTGTCATCAACGTGATAAAAAATTTCATCAATTTGATCTTCACCCCAAATTTCTTTTGTGAGCATTGGCCATCCGTTTTCAACCTGAAGTTTAGCATCATTTAACTGATAAGAGAAAGGAGGTACTATGAAGTAAGTTTTTCCGTTTCGCAAATCGCTAAAGGCTGATTTTATGCTGTTGGGCCAACATTGACCTGTTTAATACATATATATATATATATATATATATATATATACTATATATATATATATATATATATATATATATATATATATATATATATATATATATATATATATATATATATATATATAGATATATATATATACATATATATATATATATATATATATATATATATATATATATATATATATATATATATATATATATATATATATATATATATATATATATATATATATATATATATATATATATATATATATATATATATATATATATATATATATATATAAAGAGAGAGAGAGAGAGAGAGAGAGAGAGAATTAAATTATAAAGAAAATACCATAGTCAGCTTTTATTTTTGTAATATCTTCATCATCTAGTACGTATGGATCATCTTTACTAAACGGAATTTGAATAGTCTCATGCATAACGGATGTCAACTTTCGTGAATGCGAAAGACCTAAAACATGACCTACTTCATGAATTACTGTATACACAAAGTCGGGAGCATTTGCAGGACGTTTCATAAGAGTGGAATATTTTAAATTATATTGCCATGGTTCTGACTTGTCAAAATGAATCTCTTTGTTTATAGCATGTGCCAATGAACCACCAGGTCCGTCAAAAGAATTGCCATCGCCATGGTCTCCTTGTTTTAAAATAATAAAAAAATATTATTATTTAAAATTTTGTATTTACAACTATTTTTAAATATTTTTTTTAGAAAGTGCATAGACAAAAAAAGCAAATTAATGAGCAAAGATTCAAATAAATCACTTTTCTAAAAACATTATTAAATAATTAACAAATAAAAACCTGTATGGAAACTGAAATAGATATCTGCTTGAAAAAAATCTCTGTGTTGTATTCTTTTAAACTTAATATTTGTAACTTTTGCCCAAACATTTAATCCAAACTCAATTAGGTCAAGTACATTTACCAAATGCAAATACTTTCCATCCGGTTTATGGTCGTTTAATGTCCAAGTCATTTCGCTCTGGCTCATTTTTTGAAACGAACCCAAAGATCTTTTTTTTAGCCTTCCGTGTTTACTCAGCATTACATTTAGTTTATGAGCATCTTCCTTTTTTTCAATTGTGTTACACCTGGGAGCTCGCATTTTTAATAACGTTGCACTGTCAAGTATACCTGTTTTAGGTAAGTTGTGAAACACTTGGAAATCAAAAATGGCTTCTTTAATTGTTTTTTGTGCTACTTTTTTTTTTCGTAGCGGATTTGTCGTATATACATTTTCAGGCTCTTCTGCGTGTTTTTCCAATTCCTCTTCTGTGAGATAACCAAATTTTATCAAATAGTTCTAAAAAAGGAAAATTAGAAGTTTATGCAAGAATAAGTTTTTCATAAAAAACTTAATGAAACACCTTTCTTTAAAATCTTGGAACAACCCGATCCCTAAGGTTTCTAAAGCGTTTTGAAACTTAATTTATATATAAAAAAACACGCAAAAAAAAAACTTACTTTAGCTTCGTCCTCATCATTTGATATTGTCGATATAGTTTCTGTCAAAGATTTTAACGTAGTTGTTAAAACATTTGTCAAAGGTTTAGAGTCGGAATAAAAAAACACAGTATTTAAAAAAAACAATGTTTTAACAACCAAATAAATCTCCATAGTTTATCAAATTTGAACCCTCAAAAAAATCTTGGCTATTTTTGTAATTCTTAGCCACGTCACAGTACCCACAGTTTTGCTTTGTATCTAGTTCTGGTCTTACCACATCTAGTACTGCTGCTTTTATAACGATGGTAATCGCATCGTACCAGACAAAAAATGAATGAGTTCGTTTATTTTTCTAATGCAAACAAAGAAAATGTGTCGCTGCTTATTCTAAAGAAATCTTACAAAATGTTTTGACGAGGTTAACTTAGGAACATTGTCATGACTACTGTCAATGTTGAGTTGTCATCAATGAGATACTACTAAACCATGTTTATGAATGAAGAAAAGACAACTCCTCAATGAAAATGTGGGTGGCAAAAATAATATCGCGTTAAAAAGAAACTTATCACGCAAAAAATCGAAGACTTTGGTGAGTGAACTAATAAACCTCACGTAAAAGCCTTTACGGTTAAATTATGAATGGGACCAAACGGCATCCAATGTTGTAGTATATATAGTTATATATTTTTTATTTGTTCTATGCTTATTAAAGTAAATGATAACCTATCGTTATCAAAAAATTCTCTTTATTTAAAAAAAAAGTAAAAGAAATTGATTTTTTTTTTAACATTAGCAAGAATCTTAGAAACATACATAACGCAGATTTCATTTCAAAATACTATTAAATACTATTTGTTATGTTTATGTATCTATATAAATACTCCAAATCACAATGGGATTAAACATAAAATCTCTACTACAAATAATTGACACAAAAATTGAACATTTACTCGAGAAACTAGAGTTGTAACATTTTTGTTAATCTACAACTTAAGACAAAAACGATAACAACTTTATGTATGTTAAAGTAGACCTGCAAAAAGAAGTCGCATTACGTTAGATGAAAAAAACTAATGGATTTTTTGTATGCCTAACAATCCTTATTTATTTCAACAGAAAAGTTTGTATAATTTATGTATTTTTGGTTGCATTTCGCAAAATGAAATACCAGAGTGCTGATTCTAAAATGTTTTTATGCATACACTAAATGGTTTTAATGCGCATATTTAACCTTTAAGTTGTGACTACGTTTTTTAAATACCGGATTGTTAGATAATTTTAATACGCATATTTAACCTTTAAGATGCGACTACTTTTTTATTAAATGTTAGAAACCTGAGGCTAAGATCAAACAAATGTTTTTTTTAGGTCATTTTTTAACTTAATATTTTTTAACCTTGAGTTATATTGCAATGGTTGATTTATTTTTCTTATTTTAAAAAATTAACTTTTTGTTAAATAAACAGCTTAACTTTATATTACCGAAAGAAAAGAAATCTCATAATGATAAAAATGAATTTTCATCATTTTAAAATTGAATTCCAAGATGCGGTTTTACTTATTTCGTGGTCATACTTATTTCGCTAATAGGATTAGGTATGCTTTTATTTGTGTACACACCGTATTAATACAGTTTCATTGAAAGATTGAAGCCTTTGCCTGGGAATATTTTAAAAAATCTGAGCGACAGCGGTGTTGTTTGTATTAGCTTACTCGATAACACGGTAATTTGAAGTTGACAGATGCATCACGTTTAAATTTAAAATATTTATCTCTATACAAACAGCAATTGAATAATCAAAGAAATGTGTAAGAAAAGAATGTGCAGGAAATAACTGTAATGTCGTTTCGTTTTTGTTTGTTACAATTAACGTCATTTTAACAAGTTTTGTCACTAAACTAAACGCCGGGTTTTAATAGATCTATTGTTTAACTTCATTTACATCTACTTTGAACTTCAATTTTAAATAATTCCATGAGATTTCAATAATTCCTAGAGTTAGTTTTGTTATAAATCGGAACACGCTTAATAATGTTTAAAAAAATAGTATCGAAATAGCAATCATTAACTGTATGGTTAGTTGTTAACCAAAAATTGTTATCGTTAATTTTCAATTTTTTATCATTGTTTTGTAAATGCTTATTGTAAATCTAGTCGCCATATTAGTAAAAAAACAAAACAAAAAAAAAAACAACTACAGTAAAACAGAAATTTTTGTATTTTTGTTTTACTGTTTGTTTTTGTTTTTTTTCACTCTTAAGAATGACTAGTGACTAATTGTAGGTAGTTAAATGATATACTTTGTAAAATGCCAACCAGTAGCCCAACGGTAAAATATTTAAGTCCTGTGGAAATTTAACTTTCGATACAATGAATGCTAGGTTTCCTCGAACACAAAATGAAAGTATATTTGTTTTAAACAATGCGGAAACCTTGATGTATAAACTTTTAATTTCAGTTATGTTTCCAAAATTTAGAAAAAAAGAAAGTTTTAATGAAGAGAATTATTACAAAAAAACGTATTTTTACATAGAGACGTACAGTGATTTTTACGTCTTATCATTTGTCAGCTCAATACCGTTTAAGGTATTATAGTAATTAAAATTGAAAATTTCATTTTTTCAAAAAAACATTTTTTAACTAATATATTGTAGGATCGAAATCTTTTCTTGCTTTATAAAAAAAATCTTAGTATATACCTCTAAAATTTCTTTTAAATTGTTCGATTTAAATTTTTATCCATAGCAACGCTTTATTTACCAGGTTACTACGGGTTTTTGTAATCAAAGTTATATAAAATAATGTAATAAAAACATTTTTAAGCTAGCTTTTTATAAGTAAATTTATTAATCAGCAGTCACTTCTTGTTTAATATTTATTCTCGATTTATACGCATACATAGCGCATGAGCACGCTTTATTGCTATTTAATGCTCTTGGCATGTTCACTAATAGTCTATACAATAGTCAATTTTTGTAATACTTTATTTTAATAAAAATGTAATGGGTCAATCAAAAAAAAAATAATCTTCTAAATTATTAAATCAAAAGAAAAAATCGAAGTTTCATGGAAACAGATATACAATTGTCTGCAAAAATAATGAAACCACTGCTATACCTTCTTAAATACCCAGAATGTAATAATTTAGTAAGTTTGCAGTTTGTATCTTCAAAAAAATATGGCTTAAGTATTGGACTAAAAATATGTTGCAGTGATTGTGTTTAAGAACCTTTTTTTTTTTTCATCTGCTAAAATGGATAAAAAGATAGATTGTGTTGGACGCAAACGTTTTGACATAAACAATCGTACAGTAATTGCATTTCGTGAAATGGGTAAGGGGTTTTCAGGAATAGCAACTTTTTGCGGAATTATGAACATGCAACCTCCAATGAATACACATACTGTTGGATGTTTATCAAAGTTTTGTTGATAAAAGCATGACAAATGTAGCAGAAGAATTACTATCAATCAATGAAACATCTAAAGATATTACTTGTGGGTTTGATGGATCGTGGCAGAAACGTGGATACACTTCAAACAACAGATTAGTAACAGCTGTTGCTGTAGAAAATGGTAAATGTATTGATTTCGAAATAGAAACAAAAACTTGTAAGTTATGTTCTATATGGGAGTAAAAATAAAACGCGCGTCATGAAGAATATAGTGAGTTTCACTTCTTACATTATCAAAAATGCAAAATCAGTCATAACGGTTCAGCCATAACAATTTAAGATATATAACGTTTCTAGGAGATGGAGATAGCAGTTCATATGTTAAATGTTTATATGACATTTTTCCAGTCTGAAAAACTGACTGGCAAAATGTCATATAAAAAAAATATTTGTATTCCTGCAACGCCACCAAACCAATATTTGTAGAACTTGGTTCCGATAAACTTCTTGAAAAATGTTTACATGGAAAAACGCAGAATCCCAATGAGTCTTAAAACCAGTTGGTATGGAAGCGATGCTCAAAAGATGTTTTTATTGAAAGAACTGCTCTAAGTATAGGAGTAGCCTCAGCTGTGCTAAATTTTAATTAAGAGCAGCAGTTTTTAAATAAGTTGTTTAATGAGCTTGGAATGGAATTCGGTATAAATGCACAAACTACTGTTTACGTAAAGACAATAAACGAATCATAAAAGCAGAAAAACAATGTAGTACTAAAGCAAAATCAAGAAGAAAAAAGTTGGAAAAAAAGCTGGAAGGAGTAACTTATAAAAGTGGAAAATTTTGAACTGTTTTTATATTCTTCTTTTTTTTAATTGTGTTTTTCTCAAAATCATGTTTTTGGGGTTTGCGACGTGGAATTTTTTAAAAACCAGTAATCAAATTTACTTGAAATTTGGCACACATAGTTACTACATTACATACACTACATAGTTACTACATTAGTATCTACAACATACATTAGAATAATTTGTATTGCTTCTCTCGTTCAGTAATTTTTAATGATTTTTTTCATCAATTACCCCCAAAATTGCATAAATTTACACAAATGCAAATATTTTTTCATTTTTTTGACCATATTAAAATCTTTTAAAATCCACATTGCAATGCCACATGTAATATATCACCAGCCAAAATTTCAATAAAAAATATATAATGGTTCTTGAAAAACCTCTGTCGCGGTTTTCATTTTTGGGCCTTTAGCAATAATTAAGTTAAAAAAAAATTGTCATAATTTTTTTTTTTTCCGCCTATATTACACATTGTAGAAATTTTAATTTTTTATTTGAAAAAATTGATTTTTTTTTCTAATTACTACACTACCAACTTAACTCTTTCCCCTGTATATTACTTTAACTTAATATTTGTATGTCATTTGGATGCAGCAGTTGTCTTCAACCAAGAAGTGCGCAACTCCCAAGATTTTTTTTTGTTCACGACCTGGTTGAGTAACATTACTCAACCAGGTCGTAAACAATAAAAATCGCATAAAAAAAAAATGATCGAATAAGTTGTAGGTCGGCAATCCACGGCTCTTTTATCCGAACTGTTTGGCTCTTCAACATATCCGAAATATAAATGGCATTTTTTCAAAAAAAATTTTGATGCCTTGAAATAAATTTGAAGTTAAATAAACTATGTTAAAATAAAGTACGTAGCCGTGATTTAGTGACGTACGTGATATAGTAATGTACGTTGCCGTGCTGATTCTAGCAAAAACTTAAAAGGTTAAACGCCCCTCCAAAAACTTAATGGGTTAAATTCCCCTCCGCGGTGCTCTCTTTGCTGAGATCGATAGATGTGGTGCTCTGATAGATGTGGTGACCTATAGATGCGTTGCTCGTTAATAAGACCAACTTCTTGGAGCGCCTTTATTTTAAAAAAGAAAGAAAAAGAAAAAAATATACGCAACTGTTTAGATAGCATTGCTTGGACTTAGTTCTGCAAAAGTATATGAATAAAATTTGCGCGCCAATATGTCAACATTGGATTTAAAAACTGTAAATTTTTGAATCTAATGATTAAAATGCTATCAGTGTGAAAATGTATTGTTAAATTAGAAATGGAAATTAATCTTACTACGTTAAACCAGTGGCGGATTGAGGTTTAGTGTCGCGGGGGGGCCAAGTCAATGAATAGGGGCGACCGGGGTTGCCTTCAGCAATTTGATCTTATATATATATATATATTTTGAT